GTTGATAGAACGTTATATATTAGTTTTTGTTTATTCTAACTAGTATTACCCGCGGCTGTGTTTATGGAATCTATGTTTATATGAATATATCTCTAATATAAATATATAATATGCAAAGATATAACAGTACAGTACCTACTTTTTCCCCCTCTCTATTTGTCAACCGATTTTCTTTTTTTTTGGTTTAGTAGGTACCTATTGACAAGCTTTAGTGTTATGAATAAAAAAAATATTATGGTCTACTTTATACTACGCAATATCTTAGCAAATATATCTTATAAATTTCAAAAAAATAATGTCGATGATGTGAATTATTTTTACCGCTATATATTAACTACCCCCACATTTAAATCCGGCTCTGGATAAAAGTTACTTCTTGAATAAAATTGCTTCATCATATCAAAATATATTTACACGTACAAACTGGCAAACATACCTATTTTATCAGCTGATATTTTAGCCTTTTGAATATTATATTTATTACTGTTATTATTATGATAAAATGTCCCATACTTTCATATAAAGATGACACCAATATAGTTTTATAATATCTGTAGGTAGGTATACACAGCACATAATAATAGCGTATGGAAAATAATAATTTGAATGTATTTTCGTACTTCACTCACTTAACTCAATCTTATTTGACTTTCAACTTTGTTTAAGAAAAATTATATGAAATAACATAGGCATAGTAGAAGCTGATCTACACTAATATTGAAAGAGGTAAAGTTTGTAAGTTTGTATATAATCTCTGAAACTACTTAAATAACCTTTCTGGAAGCTATATAACTGACGGATGCTCTTTTTTTCCGATAAAAATGTCTTTACTTTGAGGAATCATAATAAATTTAATTAAGGTCGGAAAAAATTGCCGTCAAGTTACCTTACCGGCTATTCTTAGGCAAATAGAACAAGCACACGAGCGAAGCGTGGTTTAAGTTGCTAGTATTTAAAAAAAAATAACTTATTCTCATCTGCAACTTCGCTCACCTTTTACTTTCATAAAAATCTTATTTTAAATTAACAATAGTGTAGACTATTAGTCAAATACAAAGTAACAATTTTAACAATTTATATTATTTTGATCAGATAGATATAACAGAACATGAAACGTATGTTATCGTTAATAGTATCTAATTTATGTATAAACCTTTAATAATAATTAGCAAGTACGGTAATAAAATAATTGATTTAAGTCACGAATAATAAAAAAATGTAAACAATACTTTATTTTACTTTTATACGACACGTTTGGCTCAGTTTGTAGTGACTCTACTTGCTACTTGCTATGGCAACGGTCGCGGGTTCTAGTCCCGCTGAAGGCGTTCATTTGTGTGATAAGCACGAATGTTTGTACTTTAGAAATGGGTGTTTATGTTTATAATATTTATGTATTTAAAGTTATATACCTATGTTTAGTGTATCAGCTATGTGGTATTCATAACGCAAGCCTCGTAGCTTACCATGGAACCAGATGGTGTTGTGGGTTAATGTCGCAACATATTTATTATTTATAATACGTTAAATCTTATACCGTACCACAATACAAATCTCTTAGATATCGTTACAAGTTTTTAAACGCTAAAGCCAGGGCCGAATTTACACTTAATATGTCCTTCTACTAGGTCAAATAGACTATACACTATATACTTAGTTCTTATAATTTTATCGTTTTTTAAATTATGATTAGTTAATTATGATTTAGCTTTACTTTAAGCTATTCTTACGATAACAATCTGATTGTTAGTTAAAATTTTATAACTTAATACATTTTATATTTAAATCCTAATTTATAAGATAATTGATTTAAGTTACGAATGATATTATAGCGTAAATAATAGGTAGGTCTTTGCAAATTCTATAACAGCTAAAGAGATCTAACTATGATACGCTTTGGGTGATAAACATATTTATATTTAAAATGGTAAAAAAGCGTTTAATAATATACTAGCGGCTCACCCTCGCTCCGCTCGGGTTGGTTCCTACAGTTTAGTATAGATTTATCAGAGATGAGATATTTTCCTGCAGTAAAATGTAGCCCGGATAACCACCTATCATACCAAATTTGATCAAAATCCTTCTAGTGGTTTTTCCGTGATGTGGTCACAGACAGACAAAAATTCTAAAAAACTATAGATACAGCGCCTCTATCCATAATAATGTGTGTTGCAATAAAATTTTCCAAAAAATATTTAATGTACAGATTCGACTAAGTTACCATTTAATATAGATAGTGTCTACACAAAAATTAAAACGTAAAAGTTTTAGTATCAGAAGACTGTGGGAAAATGCTTCTATCTAGCTCGTATACATTTTTTATATCATGTAGCTAACATAACAAGATTAGTAGCAGCCATTCATCCACATTCCTACAATGTTTTTATAATGCAGAAATCAAAACAACATTTTCCTTTTACACTTACTTTTAACCGTTTTTAAAATTTTATTCCACAACTTACTGCATAGATTTCAACTTTACATAGCACAGTTGCTGGAAGCCATTTGTACCTACATACGTGCATCCTACCACCAACTTAGCCAGAGGCATGACCCTTTTATTTTTGAATTATACTGCGCAGACACGTGATTGGCCGGTGTAGTTTCTAGAAGCCTTCACTACCTCGTATTTTATTAGCATACGTTTAAACGATAACATCTATAATAAAACCTAATTGCCGAGCTGTCTCGCTAAGTACCTTTGCCTGTCCTTCTTATTCAAAACCAACCATTTGCCTAATAGATTATATCTGAAAATCTTTTAGAAAGAAAAGATTAAATGCTTTGTGTTTAATTTTATCTGACTTGCAATAATAAGTTTCTTAATCCAATTTTTCATATTTGTCGTACTGCTATTTTTCCTTATGAGATAGTTTTTTTTTTTTTTGTTCTCGAAGTGCAATTCTTCTGCAGATCTTTTTGTTTATTGAATTATAATCGCTTTTTAGCTTTTTATACGTGTCAAAGATGAGTTTATTAATCTTAAATTTAGCCTATCTAATACCATAGATGATAGATATTAGATCATATAGATCATATAATACTATATATACGCAGTACTCCAGGTATATATTTATAATGAACATAAAACTTACTACGGCTTCGCTGACTTGTATTTATATTTTATCTATATACATCCTATCCAAAAATACTAACAAACGAACAAAAACAAATAAAGCAAAGAATTATTATTCTTTTAATAAAATAATATACTTAAGAATATTGATAGGATAAGTTTAAACTTAATCTCTTGTTTACTGAGCGATACCCCAGACCATATAAAATCGACAAATAACCGCTTTTGTAGAAGAACGTGCGAAACGGCGAGTTCAAACACCTGTATCTATCGACATATTTATAAATCTCCTTAGCCGATTAACGATCTAAATTGAGACTAAATTAACGTAATGACCTAAAATCCCAATCCTACTAAAATTATAACAATCGTAGTTCACTTCATTTGCCATACAAACTTTCTAAATAATTTAAATGTACAATTGTAACTCTTTAAAAATTGTATTAGTTACATTTAATGGCGATCACAATAGACCAGAAATGGTCGCAGTGACACGATATAGCCACGGTAATGTTATGCATAGGTACCTAAATATTACCGTGATATAGCCGCCCAAAAATGAAAAAAAATATATAATTACATATAATAGATTGTATGTCTTGATAGAATAGATACGTAATATAAACAACAATCATAACACGTGGTGCAAAGTTACACAGGCTTTCATCTACGGAGGATTTTGGACGTTCTTTTTCCACACTGTATGAAAAGTTACAGATACTGGTTCCAAAAAGATAATAAATCATTATAAAATTTAAATCGTAGTAGTAGTTCATATTTTTTCAAGTCATTCAAGCTAACGTCCTGTAAGGTAGCGTACTGCAGATATTTTTATGTCAAGTCAAAAACTTCCGTATATTAATTTATTTTAGATTTATGCTTGCTATGTTACGCGTAAGTATATGTTATAACCACTGATATGGTATCAAAACTGGAAGAAAATTAAATTCAACGGTGTTCAAGTTACATTCTTATATAATAAACGTATATACTTTGTTTATAGTATTAATAAACATAGGTACATACGTTAAGTATACCTATTAGTATACATGATGGTAAACTGTGAAAATTAAATTAGCAACAACTATGTGAACTATCTAGCACCTGCCTTTAATAGAAAACAATAAATTAGAAATGTCAACTTGTTGTTTTTTTTTCGATCTCCAACTATCAACGCTGCTAAGGACATTAAATAAGTAGATGCTTTACAATGTACTCGTAGTTCTAATATGTTAGTCACGTAAGTGTTATTACACATACAAATAACATTTACTATACTTAGTGCCACGTAACAATACGTATTATTTGATAGTTTTTTTTTTGCTAGTGGAGCATGGGGATATGTGTACTATGTGCCTAGTAGACTGGTTCGATTTCAGCATGGACTGATTTTTTTTTGATTAAAGACAATTTCCAGACAAATCTTCATCTGGATAAGCAGTAGACTGTAATAAAAAGTTCCTTTAGCTCTACAAAATAATCTCTAAACATAACATGCTGATTTATTACTTTGTTGAAAAATTATAGAAGGATGGATACAGATCATAATTTCAATTTTCGTTATCCCTAGATAACTCGAACATTTCAACCTATAATAAAATATAACGTTCTTACCCCTCTTACTTTTTATTTAAATGAAATAAAAGTTACAAGTAACATTTAAAACCAATAACATTTTAATTACAAAATAAAAAACAAGATAGTTTTATAATTACGGAACTCATGCAAACTCTTTATTTAATAAGTGCCATAAGTCATAACTATTGCGTTTCTGAACGTAACAGGGAAACGTCAAAATAATGAATGACATAATCACGAGTATTCAAGGCGCGCAGGAAATTATAATTTTTATCATAAAACGTGAAACCGTAACTGAAACTAGGTGTGAACGAATAAGAAAATTAAATAATATTTATATTTTAAAATGTCGTACGCTATGATACGACACTTGCGCCAAACTGCTTTATTATCTCAGCAAATAAGACTTGAGAGCACCATGACCAACCTAACCCAAGAAGATTTTGTATTTCGACCACCAATGGCTCAATGGGGCAAAGTTATAAGAGAAGCAGAAAAAATAGTGGGATATCCAACCTCCTTCATGAATTTAAGATGGTTATTAAGTGATGAATTTGCCAATTTGGCTACGCATTTACGCAAAATTGTAAGTAGTATTTTATATAACAAATTTAATAATAACAAACATAATTTTAAAAATCTATAAATAAATACCAATCTACCTATAAATAAAATTATAATTTGATACACTACCTTGTTTAGAAAAGTGTTACTTATTCATTTGGTAAATATTTCCATATTTATCTTGACCAAATTCATTTCATAACTGATGTTAAATCAATTTTATTTTAAAACTAAAAGTAAAGTTCAAATTTATAAATATTTTTTAGCTTCAATTATGATTTCTTATTTTAAAAAACAAATACTCAACTAATTAATAAATATTAAAAAATAATGTGATAATATTCAAGGTTTTTTCAAGGTTACTTCCTTTTATATGTCAAGGTTTGTATTTTATAATAAATGTGAAATGACCTTACAATTGCCATTTAAAATTATTATTTTATGTTTAAAAAAAGTTATAATTTGAAATGACATGTACATACTAAGTATACTACATATATGAATATAAAATAATACTTTTCTGAAGTATTTTTGTATTAATATAATATGTAAAATTTTATTTATTTTACAATACAATTAGATAAACAGCACACATTGTATTTAGATTTTTTTAACTTCTAAGTATAAATGACCATTTTTTATTTCAACTTATTTTTTCAAAAAATAAAATTACCTGATGCAGTGTACTTCTTAATAAATTCACACCGTTCTTGTAAAGGATTTTAAGTTTTAACTTTTGTTGTAGGTAGGGAGTAACCATCCCATAATGAAAACAGCAAAAACAGTTTTGTACAATGAACAAAATAATCTCCAACCATGGGGACTCATAATTTTACTACTATCTAAAGCCATCAGTCCTACCACACCCTCGATATTATCATCAACACTTACTGAGCATCAAAGGATGCTAGCAGAATTAACAGAAATGATTCGTACAGGACACTATGTTCATAGAGGTCTTTTAAATATACCTGTTGAAGAAAGAGATTCAACTAAGGATACTTCATTGTTTGCAAACAAAATTGCTATATTAATAGGTGACTATTTACTTGTAACGGCCAATGGAATGCTGGCCAGATTGAAAAATCAAGACTTGTCTTATTTAATATCAACAGCATTGAGAGATTTAAGTGAAGGAGAATTTTTTGGGCCTAGAGATAATCAAAATATGCCACTGCCTGGTAAACCAATTAAAAGGGATATTGATTATTTTAAAATTAACAGTGAAACAGTGCCTTTAAATGTGACAGATATTCTAGGGTCTCCAAAACGTGAATGGACTTTAAGGACTATGTATAATGGAGGCTCTTTGTTTGGTAGAGGATGTGAAGGTGCAGTGCTGTTAGGTGGTAAAAGTATTGCCGAACAGAAAAAAGCTTATTTATTTGGCTGCCATTTATGTTTAGCATGGCAGGCAGCCAGTGAACTTCAAAAGTTTTCCTCGAACAGTAAAGAGTCATTTTCATTAGTGAGTGCCCCAGTTTTATTTGCATTAAATGATTCACCAGATTTATATGAAGATTTCAAGAATTTGAATAGTATTTCTACTATAAACTTTGTTGAATTGAAGGCTAAGATATTAAATTCTGATGCTTTGCATAAAACTGAGCAGCTTTATAAAGAAAATGCAGACAAAGCAAAGAGTTATATTGAAATGTTTGGAGACAATAAATCAGTAAGCACTATAAAACAACTAATAAAAACTGTATGATAATAAAAAAAAATAATTTTAGCTAAATTAATAGAAAAATTTAAAACTTAGTTGAAGTATTTTTATGAGAATGGGGATTTTTTAAATATTATATATGAATTGTTTTGAAGTTTATAATATATCCTATATATATTAGATATTATTTTAAATATTAAATAATAGTTCCTATATCTATTATCATTTTCAGCGTTGAGAATGGTCTAAATAAATTCTGTCTTTACATAGAGAAGAGAAGATTTAATTTCATAATTATTTGACAAAGTCTTTCATTTCACACTTCACATGCTCTGTTAAATATGTTTTTATTCAGGCTGTAACACAAGAAATTTAATCTGTAAACATTTTTCAAATGGCTAGGCAAAAATGTATCTTTTTTTTAAATCTTTTTTTTATGTTGGGAAATATGTTTATGCATACCACATGTAATAGTACAGGTGGTTATGTTAGACTCATTTATCTAACTGTTAACTCGCAACCCAAAAATAATTGTGAATGACAAAGTACATAAACTTTATTTAAAATCAATAATTTTACTAAATTTTTCACCTGACAATTTGCAAAGTATTATATTTATAAATTATATTGATATTGACCAATTTTGTATGGTATACCTCTTTATCTTGATTTTAATTTTTAGTTAATAAAACTGTGTTAAGTAGGAAAAATAGATTCTACTTATCATACAGATGATAACAATCAATAATTGATAAGGCAACCTTAACAATATGTGGGTTGGGTTCGACATGATTGTGTAATATTGATATATTGTGAAAAAATATTCTATTATCAAGTATCTTAATTCTTTTAAACTTAAGTACTATCTCGATCACGTCAGCTTTCAAACAAAAAAACCGCATCAAAATCGGTCCATTTGATAAAGAGCTACGATGCCACAGACAGACACGTTTAACTTATAACACCGCTCTTTTTGCGTCAGGGGTTAAAAATGTAAGCGCTGGTCGCATATAGCAAGAAGTTTTTTAATCTTTGTAATATACGATTGTATGTCACAATTTCATATGTTAATTTTTATTTTATATTATTTAGTATATAAAAAGTATATTTCATTGTAAAAAAGAACGTGTGAGATATTCAGCCAAGGTTAGCTTTGAGTTTCTTCAACTGAGATTAATCTAAATGAGCTAATGTGAAATATTAAGTGTGGCCCAATTAAACTTGTTTTCCGTAATTAACCAACTTCAAAAAAGGAGAAGGTTCTCAATTCGGATTTTTTTTATGTATGTTATAACTCCGTCATTTAAAGATTGATTTACAAAATTCTTTTTTTATTCGAAAGAAGTTAATTTCGAAATGGTCCCATTTAAATTTGAAAAAAGAAACTGATTTTTTATAATACTTTCTTCTTATTTTGCTACTACTATGTTTACGCTAAAAAAGAAAAAATAAAAACTTCAAAAAAAATCTAAAAAGTATTAAATAGCTGATTGTTAGTTTTCATTTACTATAGATAGTTAATCAGATTTTTTTGAAGTTGGTGCCAGATACAAATCAAAGCACACTTTTTGAAGTCGGTTTTTATTTATTTTTTTAAGTTTTATTCAAGCAGATTGGAAGACAGACCAGTTACTCGACATATCTTCCCATTTTGTAGTTTCGTCTAATACACACCAACTTCTTTGTTATATTAATCGAGCTACACTAATTTGTGAGAACTGATTTCATACTATCTAGTATGGAAGAATAACGTTAAAATCTCTTCCATAGTTGACAGTATGGGTTGAATGAAAACGACGATTTTAAAATAATGTTAAGGTCTACTTTGTACAGTTTGGTTATAATAATTGGTAAATTGTGCTCAAGGAGTGCCAGACTCCTAGAAGCCACAATATAAAAGAATTTAATTTAATTATTATTATAATTAAAATTGTTCGAAACGTCTCAACTGCTTGGACACGTCTTTGTTGTATTTTGTTTGCGGGGAATTTAGTTTAGATTAAGTAATTGTAAACGTCGATTTTGTGATACATATTTTAAGCGATTGTTGTTTGTTGTAAATAAATACTATGGGATGTTAATGATATTTCATTCATTTTTTTATCATAAAATTATGATATTTTAAGGCAGTGGTAGCTCAGTGGTAACGCACTTACTTGGGGAACTGAAAGAAGCGGGTTCAATCCCCGGGTCTTGCACCTCTGATATTTTCATGTGCGAATAATTTCTAATATTATTAAAATCATGCCAATCCGTCACTCTGTTTCGACGTGAAAGAAGGACAAACAAACTAACACACTTTCACATTAGGTTAGCTACTTAAATTTAAATAATACTATTTTTTACATACATATTTTACATTGTCATATTATCGGCGTAACAAAAGATTGAACATATAAATACACTAGCGATTTATAGCATAGCGATTGATTCCACATACAAACTTTCATCCCCATTTTCACCCCATTAAGGAGTGATTTCCAGTATAAAGTGATAAAGTATCCTATGTCCTTCCCAGGGTCTCAAACTATTTTCTTACCAAATTTCATCTAAATCGGTTCAGTAGATCCAGAGATTACGCCCTACAACCTCACAAACTTTACCTCTATAATATTAGTATAGATATTGTACCTACCTATGCTTTATTTTTTATTTATTTTAAGTATAAGTAAGAATAATTGAAATCCATTTCAGATATGATAAAATAATTTGCGAAGTGACACTTTAAAATACATAATTGACATGGCTTCCACATTCATTTCCAGCACATTTCCGCGCCGCCATGTTTGAAATTACGGGTCAGGCGCAAAATTCAATTATCACATCATCAATAGTGGAACGAGTTTTATATCATTTTCCTTTAATTACCATTTCAATGCTATTTTAAGGGAACCATTTTTAACCGACTTCAAAAAAAAGAGGTTATCGATTTGACACGTACTGTATGTAATATAAATCGAACTGCAAAATATTTACATATGATAATCTATTAGGGCTTCCAAAGAAATATTATACAAAATTTTATCTATATTTTCGAAGTCGAGGCCAGTCGCATTCAACAATGCTTTAATATATGAATATCTACTATATTAATAATATTTAATATATGAATAGGTATGAACTCTAATTATAACTTAAGTATTATACATACATCAATTAGTAATCTATGTATATGGTATTGTTGATATTTACATCCATTCTCTATAACAGAAAAATGTTATTCAAAAAGAGATCAACGAAGGATTTTAATGACATATTTTATTTTATATTCAATTTATAGGTATTTATTAATTTTATAAAATAAAACAATAAGGTTATGTCATTATTTTAACATTTTCAAGACTATCTACTCCATATATTGTAAAGTTTCAGTGCGAACTGTTAACGCCATCTTCTGGATAGCAACTCTTGCATCTTCAACTGGGAATTTGTCACTGTGTTCCATGATTGCCGCCATTTCTTCTTCCAAAAATATCGTCAAGTAATCCAAAGCCCGAGTAGCTCTGACTGCGTAATACAATTGCTTATATTCTACTGGCCTCTTCTCTAATTTAGCCTCGATTATAAAGCTGTAAACTGTTGGGTACTCCCATATTGCTAGTATAACTGGAGCCCCCACTAACGAATAGGAATATGGATAGGTAAAGAAATCCTTAACGTCTAAATAAAGTTGCCAAATGATTGCCAAGTGACCGCCAAGTATATAGGCATTTTTTTCTATCTTCTCCCCCCTATTTGCCAGCTTCATGGCTCCTTGGCAACCCTTGCCAAGTAGGCTGCCAGATGTAAGCATTGTTCTTAAAAGCCATTCATTCTTGCCTTGGCCAAGAAACTCGTTTGAGCCAAGTGTACTAAGGTTGTTCTCTATTTGCCATTGATAGTTTTTGACATTATTACAAACTGTAAATAAATTCCATATAATAAGTATGAATTAAAAGTGAAACAAATAAACTATAATATTTTCTTAGATTTACGCGAATATTTGACATTTTAAATAAAACTAGCGGAAAAATCCGAAAAGAAAGTTTTATATATTCTTTGTTGTTTATAGTTTAGAAATTTTATAATGCGGTTAAAACATAATGAGAAATAAACCACAGGCATTTCATCGTAACATCATATACTTACATAGGTACTTATATAATGAGTTTCGCTTACAACAACGACTTCTATTCCTTTTTTTTTTTATGTCAGGAAATGCATTTACGCATACCACCTGATCCCCCAGGTGGTGATGTGGGGCTCACCGGCTAGAAGAGCCGGTACTACCCACTAAAACCCGACATTCCCCTCCCCTCCGCCTTAATGGGACGCCGCAGGATCGCTTGCGCATAACTACTACGGCGCCCCGGCGGCAGGTCTGCCTAAAAAGGCAGACCACCAAACCAATGGGGCTGCTCCACAGTCAACTCTGCTACGCCAGAGAGGTACCCGGAGCAGCCCCATTAAACCTAACCACCGCCCACCTAAGTGGGCCACCTCCAATCGGCTGCAGAGGACAGGGAGAGCGGCAACGAAACACCGACACTCCTCTTCCCCTGCAGCCCCACCGCGTCCGCCATCGAACGGTGGCGGCCCCGTCTAGGCCGCGGAAGGTAGGGAGAACGGCGCACCGAAATACCGGCACTCTTCTCCCGCCGCGGCCTACTCCTCCGCCGGATGCGGGCCTGCGACCACAGTCCCGCAACTGGCACCCATCATCCGGTTGTGGGACCAAGCGGTCCCACCACCGGTGGCCGCAACGTCTTCGGCTCGAGGCCCAGACGAGCGGCCCCATCCAAGCCATTTGGTCCGCGCCGGATTTCTCCGGTACCACCCGCCGCCCTAAGCGGGTGGCATTCCCCTATCCGCCACCTGGGGACGCGCCCGGTAGGAGTTGGCTTCTCCCCCGGGAACGACTTCTATTCCTAACTTAAACCCAAATTTATTTTTGTTTTAAAATGTAATAATAAATAATATTACTATTAAACTACTAATAAAACTTTATTTTGTTTAATAAATTTTGATCAACTGTAATGTTGATACATGTACTAAAACCAATTAAATAAGCCCAAATATGAAGGTTTTACTAGTTACTATTAAAGAGTTTTACTATTTACCTCGTGGTTCTATGAAATTTGCATAAAAATATAAGTTATTATTGAGTAGGTAATCCTGATTTCAGAATCATTTAAATCTATTCACATATGGCGAAGATATTTCGTAACATACCCACAATAATTACAAAAATAAAAAAAAAACCGACTGCGTAAAACGCAAACTGCGTTTGCGCAAGAAATGTATTGCAGACTTTTTGAAAATATCCCTCGTATCCAAACGCCAGAATTCGAAATAATGGACACTGAACCTAGGACTAGTACCTAGTTTGACTACTGTACACAACAAATCTGATGAATCATTTCAAAGTCAAATGGAACAAACAATAAAAAAATCGCAACAAATGTAGGTACCTGAAATTGTAGCAAAAAAACCAAGGACAACAATAAAAAAACGAGTTGCAGGTGTTGTGCAGTGAAGCATTTTTAAGTTTGCTTGATAATCATAATATTTTACTGCCAAGAACTGAATTTTGTTTAAGAATTAAATATACGAATTGTTTAGACTAAATAACGATGTTAAAATTTGAAACATAAAATATGTTCAACAAATATTGATTTATATTAAAATTGCTTTATTTATTGTTACATTTCGCCAAAAATTAATCTAATTTTATTCTGAGAAGTCTTGAAGTCCCGGGACGTCCCTGGACCTTGGTCGAGAGTGGTCTCGGGTCCCGGGACTTTTGAATGTCGGGACCGCCCCAAGCTATAATACATAAATATAGGTCGGACACATAACCCTCCTTTGGGCTTCGCCGTAGTCGGATATTGTAGGGTAAAAACAATACAGATGAACGGAATACTTCCTAATTATTAACTTACCTATATAATATAATTTTATAATTTATGTATATTATGTAATAGGAAAGCAAATATTGAAATTGATGTGTGGAATTACTAGAAGGGACAAGATTAGGAATGAGTATTTTACAGGAAGTTTGAAAGTAGCAGATACCACCAGTGACAGAGAAACTGAGGAGTAATAGGTTAGCATCGTAGGGGCATGAGGAGTGAATAAAGTCATATAAGCAAGAGTATATTAGGTATGAATGTGGATAGATATTGAAATAGAGATGGACGGAGATAGATTGTGTGTAAGAGGATTTGTATGTGAAAGGTGTGTGTGCTAAGAGGACGGCTGATAGAGGAAAGTGGAGAAGGAAACTTGTTGTGCCCACCACATATAGCGTGGTATAAAGATAAGTAGAAGAAGATTATCATTTATAGGAATGGGTTTAAAATCCATTTACCTGTTGGCCTACTTGGCAGAGGGTTATTGTCATCATCAAAGTCACCCAGGAAGTCTCCCTCAACAAGGTCACGGAGACCAGTGGAAATGAGTTCAGTCACATCGTTATTGTATAAACCACCCAAGTTCTTTAAACAGCTCGCTAGGAGATAGTCACCTATAATAAAGAAAATAAAGTTTACATTTGCCTGCAATTTCCTGTGACCGCAATTGCTGTAAGTAGAAATCAAAAATCTAAATAAATCCGCGGCAGAGTCCAAAAAAAGTTTTTTATTTAAAATGTTAAATATTCGCGTAAATCTAAGAAAGTATTAGATATATGCATTATTGTGGAAACCTTATTTATTCTTGCGAAATGGTGATCCTTTTTGTGTGACGACACGTTTGGCTCAGTTTATAGTGCCCTACTACTTGCTACTACCCTACTTGCTGTGCCAGCGGTCGCGGGTTCGAATCCCGCTCGGGGCATTCATTTGTGTGATGAGCACGAATGTTTTTTCTCCAGTCATGGATGTTTATATTTATAATATGTATAATGTATATTATAAAGTTGTATATGTATAGTGTTTCAACTGTCTGGTATCCATAACACAGGTCTCGTAGCTTAACATGGAACTAGATGGTGATGTGTGTTAATGTCTAAACAAATTTATATATTTCTTCTTCAGAACTGACAGAAATTTACTTGATGGACTTATGTTTATGTACCTACTCATGAAATTGACTCATTTACAATATTGTTTGCTAATTGAAATGTTTGTTAAATTTTTGTCGAAAACGACCATCGAACCTACGACTAACTAAAATCAGACTACTGTTACGAATGCTAAAATTTGTATGTATGTGTATAAATCCTTTAAGCTGAAACGGCTCGACAGATTTGGTTGAGTATACAGATAGGCACCTAGGAAGAAACCAGAACGAAGCAAGAAAAATATGCTAGTTGCTTATATATCTACGGATGCGGACCTAACTAAAAACTAAACATAAGATAAAATGTAAATATACCAGTAAGTAAAACAATTTTATTGCCATACAGAAAATCCTTGTACTTATCCCCATATTTCTCTTTCTCCATTAAATTAACCATGGTTTTGTGAACCAAGTGACCAGTTCTTTTCATCTCCACAATCTCAGCCAGAGCTCTTTGTGAATGTAAAACCCCCGAGGAATACTGATCTTTTGTATGGCACTGAAAGTCTAATCCGGCAGCTTTGGACACCAGAAGAATGATAAGACCGACAGATTGAAGGTTGCTTTTTGAACCAATAAGGAGGTTTTTCGCTGACTTTAATAAGGGATGGTTAGTCCCCACCTGATAGAGATTATATAGATAAATTAAATTTCAATATTATATTATTTAAATTCGAATAAAATTACGAGAATGTCATATTGGTAGCCTACTTCTTTATGCCGTCATGTCTCAATGAATCAAATCAAATCAACCACTTTATTGTGAACTTGGGTTAGTACAGGTACACACATTTAGATTTTGATAATAATATATTTAATGTTCAGCCAAATTCAGCCTTATAGCATGCAATATTTCATATACATAAAATTAAAATATACATAAAATTACAAACGTGAATTTTAGTGTGATTCAGAATAAAATACTTATTTAACATCAGCTTATAATAATGACTAGAACATCTCTTTAATGTCGATCACTAATAAATAAATTGATTAATTATAGGTAAATTATTAGCATTAAAGTTGTTTCGAAATAACACCTACGTTTCAAGTAGATTCAATTCCACAGTTTAGAATTATACGACTAACCAGTTTCCTGAGATGTATAGCTGTACTGGCTATCTCGTCATTAAAGAGCCATCGCAGGTTAAGGAAGGATGTTGGATAACCAACTATCTGTTCAGCTTCCGTTAAAACGTCGCGCCAGTCAAGTTCATTATTCTGACCTATTCTGGGGCTCCAGCGAGAACATGATCTTGACGTCTTTGCCCTGCTATTACAAACACAAATGTACGGTGCGTGTTTATTACTACAGAAATGGCTGGACGGGTTTTGATAAAAATTATTCTTTAGGTCGTGATCTATCTGTATACTTTATCCATATAGTTTCTGTAGTTTCAGGTTTAAGTAGTAACAAACAAACACGCATACATAATTTCGCAATTATAATTAATTAGCCAGATTACTTGATTGAATAGTCATAGTATGTATTCAGCCCTTTTTTAACATCCCAATGGTGGGCATGGACCTCCCTTCAAAAGGAGAGGTATAACTTATCCCTTATCACGGATAAGGCCATAGTTCACCACGCTTGCCAAGTGTAGTGTGAGTTGGTGGATATCTTTCGAAAACTTGTTAAGTTCTCTCAGACATGCCGGTGTCCTCGTGATGATGTAATGTTTAAAAAAAAATTAACGAAAAAAATATATATAAATGAAATATAAAATACCTTTCAAACAAATGCTTGGACAGAATTTTATTGTTAAAAAGTTTAAATCTCTTAAAAACCATTGTCTTATGTAAATTTTCAGTTCGGACAAGTTCCAAGATATTGCTAATATTTCAGTAGATAAGATCATATGTCAGTGACATTTGAGAAGGATACACAGAATATGGTTCAGATAAATGTCAAAAAGCTTATTAACCTCCTTTAAAAACAATACTTATTTAGATATTATACAAAATTATATCAGAGTCAAAAAGCAGGGGTTCGCTCGAATTGTATTCTTTGTTGGCTTTCTCAGTAAACTATAAAAGACATAAAACAATTTTTGAATCGTACTTGCGGAGCTTAGCTCGTTTAAGTAAACAAACAAAAATACTAGTCTTATACATATAATAAAATTCTAACTCAGCTGAATCTGTACATTAAATACTTTTTGGAAAATCTTCTTGATGTAGACATCATTATCGAGACAGAGGCCGAATCTATAGTTTTTAGAATTTTTGTCTGTCTGTCTGTCTGTCTGTCTGTCTGTGACCGCACAACCACTGGAGGGATTTTTATTAAATTTGGTATGATGATAGCTGGTTATCCGGGTCAACATATAAGATACTTTCTGAGAAAAAAACTTTTTAACAAAAAAATAAAAACCGACTTCAAACAAAAGCACTAAAAAGTAAAAAATAACTGATTGGTAGTTTTCATTTACTATACATACCTAATCAAATATTCTCGAAGTCGGTGTGCTTTGGCTAAGTAATTAAAGCCTACCTATTAAATACATACCTAATCAAATATTTTCGAAATCGGTGCCAGCCCATATAAAGCAAAGCACACCGACTTCGAGAATATTTGATTAGGTATGTATAGTAAATGAAAACTACCAATCAGTTATTTTTTACTTTTTAGTGCTTTTGTTTGAAGTCGGTTTTTATTTTTTTGTTAAAAAGTATTTATTTTCCCCTTTTTAGTGTAGACAGTAGTAGCAAAGTAAGAATTCTAAAGTGTTAGGCTTGTCAAACCAAACAAAATAAGCCCAAACTCAAAGTATCTACTATTAGTCGTTGAAGAGTTCCACCTATCCACCTTCTGGCCTTACCATCAGATCAGGTCAACAATACCGAACCACTGTACTATCAACGGAAATAGAAACACTTGCAAAGTTTCAAGTCAATATGACAATTAGAAGTAGGTTAAATTAATTATTAGCTATTTTTCCACCCTTAGGGGTGGTATTTTTTTTTTGAAATTTAAATGGGACAAATCTGGAAGTATACCCTTTTAAACAAAACAAAAATTGTCCAAATCGGTTAATAAATGACGAAGTTCTGAGGTAAAAAACATTAAAAAAAATACAGTCGAATTGAGAACCTCCTCCTTTTTAAAGTCGGTTGAAAATACAAAAACTGCAATGTAAGAGTATACTAATATGTAAAATCTAAGAATTTGGTTTTTTCTCATCAGAACGCGGGCGGAGCCGCGGGCAATGCTAGTACATGATAATATAATTGTACATTGTACATCATCTAGTATAATAATAATCGGTTGAGTCTGTCTAGGTACGCGAGCGAAGCCGCATGCATTAGCTAGCTATATAAAAGTTCTATATGCAAGTCAGTAACCCAACGTGGACCTCAGTATAAAGCACAAGTACCTATATATTTATTTAACGCTAACTCGTTAGCTCGCTACCCCCTACGGAGAGTGTGATAGAAAACATTGTTCGCGTAAAATACCGCTGGCGTTTTAAATATATTTCTACATTTTATTGAAGAATATAAACTTTAAGTGGAGTTTATATTTATTATAAAAAAGTTTGTATACAAAACTATTTATATTTTTGCATTATATAATATTTTGAAATAAATTCTTTGTCTTGTAAATATAAGCTCATATCTTTCAAAGTATTATTTTTTTCCCTCTCGAGGATATCCTCTGCTTTGGGTTATAGGCTAAAGCTATTATTATTAATTTAATATTATTAAAGCAATGAAATTTGTTTTAATGCTATTTCGTCCTTTTCTAATGCCCATAAAAGTCTCAATTAATATGTGAACTTCAACGCTAATTATGTTCATTTCTCTCTGTCATTCCTTGTAACTAACTATATTAGATATTTTATCTGAACATTAATGATTTGTAGATAGTGAGTAGTTTTTAGAGATTTTGTTTAAACTTTGAAGTAAATATTAAAGGTATAAATCTTACCTATGAGTCAAACAGTAGGTACCAACTTAATAGTAATAAATACAAAAAATAAAGAAAAATACTAGTCGAACATAGCCACTCCCTTTTTGGAAGTCGGTTAAATAATAATATAAGTAAAATTATCAATCTCTATAATTGTCGTTGGTTGCTTTTGTACGTATCCTGCGACTCCCCATTAAGACGGAGGAGGTTTTGTTGGGATTTAGTGGGTAGTACTGGCTTTTCTATCCGGTGAGTCCCACTCCCACATAACCTGTATGTCTACAGGAGGTATGCAAAAATGGTTCCTTTTCTAGGCTGATCATTAATGCATAGTTTTCATTTCCTTCTAATACTGCTAAATTTCAACATACTGCTTAAACTGAAAACTCATTCGCGTCTACCTCAAAATACGTGACACTGGCAGAATGTTTTACGACTTTTAACACAAGAACCATTAAAGGAAAAAAATAATGAACTATTACTTAAATTATAATGGGACTAGCATTGCGCGCGGCTCTGGCCGCGTTCAGATGACCAAAAACCAAATTTTTAGGTTATACATATTAATATACTCTTACATTGCAGTTTTTATATTTTTTCGGAAAAATGAGGTTTCCCGCGGTAAAAAATTCTATATGTTAACCCGGATAACCAGCTATCATCATACCAAATTTCATCAAAATCCGTCCAGTGATTTTCTCGTGATGCGGTAGCAGATAGATAGACATACAGACAGACAAACAAAAATTCTAAAAACTATAGGTTCGGACTCTGTATCAATAATAATGTCTATTTCAATAAGATTTTCCATAAAATATTTAATGTACAGATTTGGCTTAGTTAGAATTTTATTAGGTATATGTATAGAGACGCTGTATGTTTCCCAATGATAAATATATAAAATAAATTACATTTTAATTCTTATTACTTATTAAAAGTAAATTCGACCAACATTCACTACTTAGTCTGCGTATATAATTTAAATTTAGACTGTTATAAAGTACCTAATTAGAACCCTTGCATTAAATAAATATAACTGTAAATAAATGTTCTTAGTTCCAAAAACATCTACAAGGGAAACAAAATAAGAAGATAATGAAATGTAGAGAGATAGAACATAATAAATGTCTATTATTTTCTCACATTTTAATCTATACAGATAAATAAAATGTAAGTGTTTGTAATGTCCAAATAACAGCTTTTTACTAAATGCGTATTCAAAATTATATTAGAAAAACACAATTTTTAAAATTTGTGTCTGTCTGTCTGTTCCGGGTAATCTCCGAAATGGCTGGACTGGTTTCGACGGGATTTTCTCTGGCAGGTAGCTGATGTTATAATGAGTCCTCAAAAATATTAAAACGGGGCGCACCCGAACGAAGCAATGGTAACTCGCTAGTTCTTAGTAAAATTTAAAAATACCATGACTAGGTATATCGAAGTTGCGCACACGCATCCCTCATTGTAAATTCACAATTACTTCCGTTGACATTTGAATTCTTTGCATATTCTATTCACGAAACAAATTATTCGTTTGTTGTTTACGCTCGATGACTGGAATTGGCTTTTGTTAAATGGGTAGACGTTTTAAAGGTCAAATAAAATATCCCTTCAAAATTGTAAAAAAAACAACTCTATTATTTTTTAATATTATATAATATTACTTATATACCTTAAACTCAATTCAATTCTCTTGTTAATGGCTTCAAAACGTGCAAGTAGAGCACATATTACTTCGCCAATTTTACTTATAGGAAGACGTGGAGGCGGCACGATGACAATTTAAACTATGACCGCGCCCGCGTTAGATGATCAAATACCAAATTCTTAGGTTTTACATATTAATATACTCTTACATTGCATTTTTTGTATTTTTTCTCAGAAATGAGACATTTTCTTGCGGTAAAAAGTATCCTATATGATCACCCGGATAACCAGCTATCACCATACCAAATTTCATTAAAATACCTCCAGTGGTTTTTCTGTGATGCGGTAACAGACAGACAGACAGACAGACAAAAATTCTAAAAACTATAGATTCGGCCTCGGCATCGATAATAATGTTTATTTCAATAAGATTTTCCAAAAAATATTTAATGTACAGATTCGGCTTAGTTACAATTTTATTATAGAGTATAGAGAAAATTATCTAAAAATTTAATTATCTACAACTACATAATCTGTAGATACTTACTGAACAATAGAAAATTCTTAATAGGACACGACGAATTATAAAGGTGGTTTTCGCTTCTTGATTCCTTTAAATATTGCAAATTGTCTTTTAACCCAAATGACTCACGGATTAGTAATATCTCATAGGTGTAACTTTTGCATTCATGATGTGCCAGTTATTAAAAAAAATCTGCTTATTTTCAAAATTTTTATAATATATGCTATAATCTTCACCAAAATGCCTTTATTAATATAATAAACATAAATGCACTGTTCCTTTTAATTTTTATCTTTACATTTCATCTTATGTATTTATATTCAACTCCAAAATACCAAACCAATAAACGAAATATAACGGAAAAATAAAAAATAAATAAAAGAAGGTTTTATTTAAAATGTCAAACATTTGCATAAATCTAAGAAAGTAAGGTACTTATTCTATAAATCCTAGTTAGTTATATTATCGTGCACGCCAATATTTACGCAATGTCCAATAATCAAGTTGGAACACGATTTAAATAACATTTCAATTGCTTTTGAAGTTAAGAGATAGGGTAACGGACATACAGACATTATTATGCACTAAAGCGTTGTGTTTATAGATAACTTACTTAACGGCTTTGACATTTAGTCGCCTTGTCCATTGAATTAATATACGAGTATATACTGTTGGAATGAATTATTCGGACGAAGGGAAGCGTGAATG